AAATTGAATTGATAGCATAATGCGATATAGTGTCAGAAAGGGTAGAATCTGTGTGGGTAGAGTTGAGGAACCGCAAAGGGAAAAAGACCCTGATGGGAGTTGTGTACAGGTCTCCTAGCAGTAGTCAGAATGTGAGAAAGAAAAATAAATCAGGAGATGGGAAAGGCATGTAAGAAAGGCACTACTACAATCATCATAGGGGACGTTAATGTGCAGGTGGACTGGGAAAATCAGTTTAGTACTGGATCCCAAGGAAAGGGAATTCAAAGAACGTCTACAAGATGGTTTTTAGAGTAGCTTGTGGTACATTCCACTAGGGAACAGGCAGTTCTGGATTTGGTGATGTGTTATGAGGCAGACTTGATTAGGGAACTTAAGGTGAAGGAACCTCTACGGGGCAGTGACCATAATATGATAGAATTCAACCTTCAGTTTGAGAGGGAGAAGCTAGAATCAAATGTATTACAATTGACTAAAGATAACTATAAAGATCTGAGGGAGGAGCTGGCCAGAGCTGATTAGAAGGGGAGCCTTGCAGGGAAGATGGTGGAGCAGCAATGACAGGAGTATCTGAGGGTAATTGGGGAAGCACTGCAAAATTTCACCCAAGGAAGAATAAACATACTAAGAGGTGGACGAGGCAAAGGAAAAAGCATACAACGTGGTTTGGGAAGTCTTTAAAAACCAGCAGAGATCAACTAAAAAAGCAACAAGGTGGAAAAAGATGAAATATGAGGGTAAGCTAGCTTGTAATATAAAAGAAGATTGCAAGAGTATTTTTAAATATATTAAAGGTAAGAGAAAGGCAAAAGTGGATACTGGACGATGGAAAATCAGGCTGGAGAAGCAGTAATGTGGAATAAGGAAACGGTGGAGGAACTGAACAGGTACTTTACATCAGTTTTCATGGTGGAAGACAGGGGAATAGTTAGAGCAGAGGTTAATATAGTGGCCATCACGAAGGACATGTTTCTGGGTTCGAAAGTTGTAGTGATCTGGAAAGATTAAACAGGATGGGGCTCTTTTCTCCAGAGTATTGTGGGTGAATGTTTCTCAGATACATTAAGGGAAAGTAAGAGAAGTACACACATGATCTATTAACAAGTTGTGAATATTAATTGTTGTGAATGTTGTAATTCTTTTTGATATGAAGCAAACAATGTCATAACCAATAATTGGGCGGTGTGCCAGGAGCTTGGGGTCCTTTGAATGACTACAGTGGGATGGCTACATTCCTTATGTGTAACCAGAATGTGAACTGCACTGCAGAAATGAATGGAGAATCCATCTAGTGTGGCTGTTCTTGACAGATAGCATTTGAAGCGGGATTTGAACTTGTCTTTTGTCAGAAAATTGTTACTGCCAAGACATGTTGACATTGTCTCCAGGGAATAAAATGATGCAGCTGAGTAACTATAATACAGATAGACTGATCTCCTTCATGGCCTGGGTATTAACAGAGGTGCTTTATTCAGGTGGAGTTTTGGGGGAAGGAGAGCAGATTCTGAATTTTTTATGATGGGAACCTCAGTCACATTTCCCTGAATGGGGCAAAGGTCAGTAACCTACAACTCTAATATTTCAGCTGTGATAGGAAACTGTTTCCAGTTCAGTCACATGAGCAGGAGAAACACTTAAAAATATTGTATCAAGAGAAGAAAGAGTCGTGCGTTTCTTTAGTTGTGGGAGAAAAAGCTGATCATTATACTGCAGTTATAGCTTCAAATGGATATTTTAATGAAAATCAGTGCTCGAAATAAACTCATTTCAATGGTACAGTGGGACTATGATTATAGATAATATGTTAGATTTAAGGGCAAGTTTTATGATTGTATCCATTATTATTTCTCATATAGCTGATATGATTCATTACTCTGATTGTGCTACTAGAACTTAGATTATAAAATCAATAGCTCAAAAATTACCTCTCTTGGGACTTAAAGGTTAATGTTTTGAGAACTACTTTGGGCAAATTTCCGAAGAATCATAACACCTTGAATGTTTGCATTTATTGTTGCAAATTGAGAGACGCGGGGTGGATGGGTCGGGGGGTGGAGGGGTTAGTGGAGATGCAAAGAGAAAAAAAATTGCAGGGATATGGGAAAAGGCAGGAGTGTAGAAAGCTGAGCTGCTCTTTCAGAGAGCTGACATGAACTTGACATACTTAAATTCCAGTGCATATAGAGGAAATACTGCACTGTCAGAGGGACAGTACTAAGGGAGTACCAAACTGTCAGAGGGGCAGAGGGAGGGAGTGCTGCACAGTCTGAAGGACAGTGCAGAGGGAGTGCAGCATTGTCAGAGGGGCAGTACTGAGGGAGCGCCACACTGTCAGAGGGACACTGTCAGGTTGACCAGGCAGGCAGTAATGGATATGAGAGGTCAAGTGATGAAACTTCTAGGAAACCATCCAATTGGAATTGGCCATCCTTGCTGTGATCCATGGCTGTCCAAAAACCCAGAGCACGAATGGAGCTCTGGATAGGTAACCATGTATTTATACAATGCCTTTCAAGACTTCAGAAGGCAGATGGAGCCTAGGTTTGGCATTTCATCTGAACAGCAGCACCTGCAACTTCAGCACTCCAATATTACTAACCCTCTGACAATGTACATCCCTTTCAGTACATCCCTTTTAACAATGCAACACACCCTCAGAACTGTCCCTCTGACAGTGTGGTGCTCCCTCAGTACTGCCCCTCTGACAATGCTGCACTCCCTCTTCACTGTCCTTCAGACTGTGCAGCACTCCCTCCCTCTGCCCCTCTGACAGTTTGGTACTCCCTTAGTACTGTCCCTCTGACAGTGCAGTATTTCCTCTATATGCACTGGGATTTAAGTATGTCAAGTTCATGTCAGCACTCTGAAAGAGCAGCTCAGCTATCCACACTCCTGCCCTTTCCCATATCCCTGCAATTTTTTTCTCTTTAGATAATTTCCTTTTGAAATCACCATTGAATCAGGAAGTGCTTCTCAGATTGTGAACACTTGCTACGTAAGAATGTATTTCTTCACTTTGCCTTTGGATGTTTTGCCATTTTCCTTAAAATGCCATACACTGATTCTTGATCCTTCCACCTACAGCAACTCTCTGGTTCCTCCATATTTACTCTGGCAAGACACCTTACAATTTTGACACCACTATCAAACCTCCTCTCTGCCTTCTCCTCTCCAAGGAGAAAAAAACCAGCTTCTTCAATATATCTACATGACTGAAGTCTCCATCGCTGGGACCATTCTCACAAATCATTTCTGCAGCCTCTCCAATGGTTTCTCATCCTTCATAAAGTGTGGTGCACAGTTGAGGATGAGCTAGTGTTGTAAAAACGTTCATCGTAATTTGTAATTTATGTCTCTCTCTAAAGCCTCCACTTTCGAGGAATGTAGGAGCACAAGTAGGCCATTTGGTCCATCAATTCTGCTTCACCTTCAGTGGGATTACGGGTTGATCTGGTTGTGGTTTCAGCTCCAGCTTTTTGTCTGAATCCAAAAGCCTTGACTCCCTTATCTAGTGACCTATATCAGCCTGCCTGATTGAAAGCAAAGCAAATAATCAGTGGTCAGATTCATCCATTTGTGTGACAGCTTTAAATCTAATGTTTGCTTTTAACATCCATCTAGCTCTCACAGAAAATTCTGTTCATTCATCAATAACAATAAATAGCTAAATTGGTCTATTTCAGGCCAATCAGTGCCGGACTTTTGCTGAGGCACCAAAGGTTTTGTTAAACAGTTGGATAGCTGCTAAGACTGGCAATGAGTTTTTAAGGGAGTCCTGCCAAACTTAATGCCAACCTGACGTTAGCAAGGTCACTGCTGGGCTTTTACCTGGAATGAAGAGGGCAGGCAGTGAGAGCTGCCTAATAATCAGATGGCCAGGAGCTCTTGAATTAGGCAGCACCACAAAGGATGCCTTGGCTGTTGTCAGTAAGGTGCCAAGGATGGCAGGGGACCAAAGTGTAAAGTAAATGATTTGTTGGTAGAGGAGGGGCTTTCTAGGTATGGGGCTCACGGGGAGAGGGTGTCAGGAATTCAGAAGCAAGCACAGAGATGTGACGCTTAGTGGATTTTAAGACTGAGATAGATAGGTTCTTGATTACCAAGCGGATCAAGGGTTACGGGGAGAAAGTGGAAAAATGGGGTTGAGGAACTTATCAGCCATGATCGAATGGTGGAGCAGACTCGATGGGCCGAATGGCCTAATTTCTGCTCCTATGTCTTATGGCCTTATGGATATCCCTCAGTTCCTCGATCTGGCACTGAATGCCTTTGATGGAGGGGCCTCTACTAGCCCCTTCCCGATTCAGCTGACGGGTTTTTCCAGTCAGGCATGTCTAACAGTGACAGACCCACTTGCAGATATTCCCAGTGGTGACAGACTAAGGCCTATGTGTTGTCTTTATTTGGCCATTTAAGGACCTCAACTGACGATGGGCCAAGAATGCCCTCACTGCCTGAGGTCAGTGCTGATGGACAGGGGAAGACTTTGGTTATGACACCATCCTCCTTAACTACAGGAACAAAAACAGAAGTTGCTGGGAAAGCTCAGCAGGTCTGGCAGCATCTGTGAAGAAAAAAATCAGAGTTAACTTTTTGGATCCAGCGACCCTTCCTCGGAACTGGACACTGTTTCGGACTCGAAGCGTTAACTCTGATTTTTTTTCTTCCCAGATGCTGCCAGGCCTGCTGAGCTTTTCCAGCAACATCTGTTTTTGTTCCTGATTTACAGCATCCACAGTTCTTTCGGTCCTCCTTAACTACATGGCTATCCTACCTCCAAACCTGCCACTGCCAGGAATACAAGATTGCACCAAGTCTTCATAATCAGAGCTGAACTTAAACTAATTCCAACACTCGATCACTGTAACACACCAAAGATCAGAAATTGGACACCAGTGTCCCATTAAATTTTAGTGTTTGCTGCAAACCAAACTTCAAATTTTAAATGCACTTAAAAAGGGAAGCAGGAAACATTGGCGGATAAGCTTTGTGATAATTACCCTGACACTGAGTTCCACGTTCTCCCCTCCGTAGATCTCCATTCCTTCATCCAGTAAGCCAATCTCCTCAAAGTATAGTCTGTCTGCCACAAAGCATCCAATCAGTGCAGGGCTTCTACAAAACACACAAAGAAGGAAACAAAGCTGTGTTAAGATTCTCCTGCTGAAGATTTAAGATTATAAAATTTGTGTGGAGGTCTGACCAGCTCCTGGCCAAATGAACAATAAAAAAAAGAACATTTTTCATTTCATAACCATGTTGCAGATGAAAGTAAATCCAACGTCAAATTCAGATTTGTAACATATTCAATGTGCGCAAAGAGATTTTGTTCACAAGATTGTCATTTTGTCATTGACAATACAGCCAAAATAAGCAGGTGCCAAGTTGAAGCATGTAATTTTCAAATTGCACAGTGTTCGGATCAGACACAAGCTGACAATGAATCCAGCTCTTTGATTGGGAAATGATAAGTAACTTTCACATGTTATAATTGCCAGGTAATGACCACTTCCAACAAGACAGAATCTAACCATCCCTCCTTGCTGTTCAGTGAAATTACCATCACTAAAGTGTCTAACATCAACATCCTGGGTGTTACCAATGACCAGCTCTATAAATGCTGTGGTTTCAAGTGCAGGTCAGAGACAGGAAATTCCGTGGTAAGTAACTCACCTCCAGTCTTTCCAAAGATTGTCATCCATCTACAAGGCACAAGACATGAGGGTGATCGAATATTCTCCACTTTCCTGGATTCATGCAGTTCAACAACATTCAAGAAGCTTGACATTATCCAGGACAATGGAGCCCATTGATCAACATCCCATCCAGTACCCCAACACCGGGCCCTTCCAAAACTAGTGCATAGTGGCAGTGTACTCTGAATAGGGTATATCAGTGAAGTATGTATCCTGAATAGGATATATGATATGAGGTATGAACTCCAAATGAGGTATATCAATGAAGGTGTGTACTCTGAATAGGGTACGTTAATGATGGTGACTGTGTGTGTGAGTGTTCGTGCGTGTGCGCGTGTGTGCGTGTGTGGGGAGGGGTGGGGTTTGGGGGAGAGACAGAGAGAGACTGACTGGAGTAAGTTGTTGAGGGTTGTGTACTCTGAATGTGGTATAAGAATAAGGGTGTATAGTCTTAATGAGGACAGCAGTAATTGTTATTAAGTCTTGCTGTTTTCTACTATAAAACTGTCAAAAGCGATCTAATGATCCTGTCAATTTTATGTTGGGGAAACGTAGTCAGAAGTCACACAATACCAGGTTGTCCAACAGGTTTATTTGCAATCACACAAGCTTTCGGAACATAGCCCTTTCGTCAGGTGCAGCGAGAGAGCAGGGCACACAGTCACAGAGTTTATAGGCAGAGAGATCAAGGGCAGAGAGATCAAAAGATCATACAACTGGTGTGAGTGGAGTCTCAAATGATAAGTCTCTGCAGGCGACCAAGAGTGTTAGACGGTGTGTAAAGTGTTCAGAAAGTCAATGTCAGTGCTGTGCAGAGCCATAGGAATATACAAAAGGTCACATCTCAGGTCAGACACTGATTTGTAGGTGTGAGGCCTTATTCAGAATCTGTCTCAGGGTTTTAACCTGGAATCAGGCTTGTTTTATTTTGAAAGCTGGAATTTATAAGATGCCACACTGACTGACTGTGACTACAACTTCAATGTTTATTTTGAACAAAATAGAATGTATCTGCAAATAAACAAACATCTTGGAAGAAATGATTAAGGCCATAGATTTGTGTGTGGGGGTGCGGGGAGCGTGGTGGTGGTGTTTAGGGGAGTGACAGAGACAGACTATAACCTGGTGTCGTGTGACTTCTGACTTTGTCGACCCCAGTCCAACACCAGCACCTTCACATCATGGGGATACATAATTAGATGTTGCTCTGAATTTAAACAAAACAAATGCATTTACTTTCCCAGGCTAACCATTTATCTGGCAACACACAATTTTTCAGCTGTCCTCGTTACATTAGGTTATGGCTCTGAAAGAATAAATTTTGGGAGACTACATTAAGCTTCACCCAATGATGTCATAAGAACTTGGGTGAAGAAAGGCTGAACATCTTAGATCTTGTAAATGAAGACCTATATCTTTGGTCTCCTCATAAACATTGTTACTAAGACTATCTTACCAAAGGAACTTGTACCTGATTCACATCATACAATCAACTATACCTCGATTAAGACAAAATCCTCTTCTTGTTCATGCTCACTCGTAGTTTGCAGCTACCCCTGTAAATTAAGTAGATCCTTAGACCCACTCAAGGAATCAGAATGGTGGCAACAAACTATTGTCAATTGCAACATATAAACCAGACCTGATTTGTGCCCTGTGGATAGTGGACAGGATATGAGATGAGTTACTCATCTCAGAACTTCCAGCTCCTTACCTGGTCCTGCGGCCACAGTTCCAGTGTACCAGTCTAGTCCCAAAGGAAATCTGTAAACATGTGAATAACAAAGGACACCAATCCAAACTCGTTTGAACTTAGTTACCTGATTGGAGCAGTCACATTTCCCAGATTCCACCATTCTTTGGGAGGATTTAAGTAACGACACCATAATTCCCAGTCAAAACCTTGGGCCGATAGCGGATACTCTTCAATCTCAAAATTATCATACTTGATGTTATCAAAGGAAGGAGATATGATACGTGTTCTGTCTTCCTTTATTCTTGAGAGTATTGGCTCAGCCCTTGAAAAGCAAAGAGATTTTGAGTGGGATTTTTTTATCCATAAAACGCCAGTGACATTGGCAAGGCCAGCTTGTAATTACCCTTAGGAGCATAGGAACATAGGAACAGGAGTAGGCCATTCAGCCCCTCAAGTGTGCTCCCCCATTCAATAAGATCGTGGCTGATTTGTGGCCTAACTCCATTTCCAGCCTTGGGGCCCGTATCCCTTGATATTTTTGTTTAATAAAACTTTGTCTATCTCAGGTTTAAATTTAACAATTGAATTAGCATCGACTGCTGTTTCAGGAAGAGTGTTCCAAACCTCCACTACTCTTTATATGTAGAAGTGCTTTCTAACATCTCACCTGAACAGCCTGGCCCTAATTCTTAGATAATGCCTCCTGGTTCTAGAATATTCAACCAGTGGAAGTGGGGTAGATAAAGAGAAATCATCTTTCCCTGTTAATATCCTGAAGATCTCAATTAGATCACCCCTTAACCTTCTAAATTCTAGAGAACAAATGTCTAATTTGTCTAATCTCTCCTCATATCTTATCTTTGAAGCTCAGGTATCATTCTTGTAATCCTGCTTCGAACTCCCTCCAGGGCCAAAACATCCTTCCAAACGTATGGTGTCCAGATCTGCACACAGCATTCAGTACAGGATAGTACAGCGCACAGAACAGTGGGGTATAACTAGGGTATTGTATAACTGCATCATAACGTTTACATTCTCCTACTCAACCCCTTTAGATATGCCTTCTTGACTATTTTCTGCACTTTTTCATCGCATTTAAAGAGCTATGAATCTGGACTCCCAAACTGCATTGGACATCTAGTGTACTTAACTTCGTGCCTTCTTAAAAAAAATACCCTGATCTATCCTTTGTTCAGTACAAAATGGATAACCTCACACTTGTTTATATTAAAATCTATCTTCCACAGCTTTGCCCATTCATCTAATCTATCAATATCCTGTTGTAATTTCATGCTGTCGTCAACCCTGTCTACAATGCTGCCTAATTTTGTATCATCAGCAAATCTGAATATTAGATTTTTTATGCCATTATCTAAGTTGTTAATAAACATTGTGGATAATTGAGGCCCCAACACAGATTCATGTAGGACACCACTAGTCATGTTCTGCCAATTTGAGTACAAACCTATAATTCTACCTCTGTTTCCCACTACTCAACTGTGCATGTCAGTAATTTGCCCTCAGTTCCTTGACCTTCCACCTTAGCTAACAGTGTCTTGTGTGGGACATTATCAAAAGCCTTCTGGAAGTCAATATAAACAACATCCATTGACTTCCTCTGTCCACCACCTTTGTCACCTCTGCACTCATCCTTCATAAATCCATGCTGACTCTCCCAGATTAACTTAAATTTTCTGAGGTGATCAGTTATTCTATCCTTGGTTGTAGACTCCAACAATTCCCTCATGACACATGACAAGGTCTGTAATTTCCCGGTTTCCCTCTGTCACTCTTCTTAAAGAGCAGAGTGACATGAACAACTTTCGATTCCCAGAGGTACATTCCCTGAATGAAGGGAACAATGAAAGATTATGGTTAGGACATCAGCAATGTGCTCTCCTATCTCCTTTAACACCCGTGAATGGAAACCATCAGGTCCTGAGATTTGTTACTCTCAGTTCCATTAATTTCTCCATTATTGACGATTTATTTAAGCAAATTTTATTTAGACCCTGACCCTGATCATCTGTTAGTTTCTTTGAGACTTTTGGCAAACTAGCCTCCTTTTCTGCTGTGAATAGTGAATAAAAATAATCATTTAGCACATCTGTCATTTCCCCATGGTCATTGATAATATCCCCACTCTCAGCCTTCAGTGGGCCAATACGACTCTTAACCATTGCTTTGCCTTTTTATAACTATAAAACCTCTTCCTATTGTCTTTTATGTCCCTTTCATAATCCTTTTCTGTGGGATCCGTACTGTTCTTTGCATTTTTGTCAGTCCTTTCTTTTAATTTTATGCTGTCCTTTGCCTCCTTAGATGTCCATGGTGTTTTTTGTGAGGCAGAGATTTTCTTTCTGATGGGTACAAACTGCTTCTGAACAGCATTAAATATTTCTAAAATTTTAGCAAAGATTTATAGCTCGGGTTGAGGCTGAGGTTGTTGACTTGCTCACCAAGCTGACTTGTTTATGTTCGGATATTTCATCGTCATGCTAGGTAACATTATCAGCGAGGCCTCCAATGAAGCAATGTTATTCTACTCTGCTTGGAATTTGTACTATCCAGTCCATTATGGTGAGTAGTGTCATTTCTGGTTTTGATCTGTATGGGTTTGTATATGGGGTCCAATTCTATATGTTTGTTGATTGTATTGAGGGTTGAGAACCATGCCTCTAGGAATTCCCATGTGTGTCTATGGGAATTTGATTTGGGCTACTGTGGTTACCTTGTCCCAGTTAAATTGATGGCCTTCATTGTCTGAGTGTACCAATATTAAGGACAGTTCGTCATGCTAGCTGATATTTGTGTATTCTGATGGCTAGTTTCCTTCCTGCCTGTCCAATGTAATGTTTGTGACAGTCGTTGTGTGGTATATTGTAAACCACGTTGATTCTGCATGTTGTGGGAATGGGGTCTTTAATCCTTATGTGTGTTTGTCATAGTGTGGCTGTGGGCTTATGTTCCACCATGATTCCTAGTGGTCTTAGGAGTCTCATTGTCAGTTCTGAAGTGCACAAATTCAGAAGGCCAGTTAAGAGTCAACTGGCATTACATATAGGACAGATATGGTATGATCAGAGAGTTCCTTTCATAAGGAAACCAGATAAGTTCTTATGATAACTGAGTAGTTTCATGGCCACCACTGATACTAGCTTTCAACTCCAGATTTTTATTTAACAAATTGGTAGTCTATATTCTCCGGCTACCTTAGTGGGATTTATTTCTCTAGGTCTTCAGTCCAGGCCTCTGGATTATAGAGTCACAGAGTCATAGAGTCATACAGGCTGAAAACAGACCCTTCGGTCCAACCACTCCATGCCGATCACAATCCCAAACTAAACTAGTCCCATCTGCCTGCTCCTGGCCCAAATCCCTCCAAACCTTTCCTATTCATGTATCCATCCAAATGTCTTTTAAACATTTTAATTGTACCCACATCCACCACTTCCTCAGGAAGTTCATTCCACACTCGAATCACCCTCTGTGTAAAAAATTTGCCTCATGTCTTTTTTCAATCTCTCTTCTTTCATCTTAAAAATGTATCCCCTAGTTTTGAAATTCTCCATCTTTGGGAAAAGACAACTACCATTAACTCGATTTATACCTCTCATTACTTTATAAACTTTTATCAGGTCACCTTTGAACCTCCTATGCTGCAGTGAAAAAAGTCCCAGCCTATCCAGCGTTTCTTTATAACTCAAACCTTCCATTCAAGGCAACATCCTGGTAAATCTCTTCCGAACCCTCTACAGCTTGATAATATCTTTCCTACAACTGGGCAACCAGAACTGGACACAGTATTCCAGAAGAGGCCTCACCAATGTCCTATACAACCTCAACATAACATCCCAACTCCTGTACTCAAAGGACTGAGTAATGAAGGCAAGTGTGCCAAATGCCTTTTTAACCACCCTGTCTATATGTGATGCAGATTTTAAAGAATTATGTATTTGCACCCCTAGGTCCCTCTGTTCTACAACACTACCCCAAGACCCTAACATTAATTGTGTAAGCCCTACCCTTGTTTTTTGTACCAGTGGTAGTATGGCATGCTGATCTCTACATCACTGAAGCCAGATGCAAACTCTCTGACACCTCCTCCTACCATCCTGCTGATCATGACCCCAGTGATCACCAAGCCATCATCTCCCAGACCATTAGCAACCTGATTACTTTGGGAGATCTCCCATCCACAGCCACCAACCTGATAGTTCCCCAACACTGCACCGCCCGTTTCTATCTCTTTCCCAAAATCCATAAACCTGACTGCCTCGGTTGACCCATTGTCTCTGCCTGCTCCTGCCCCACTGAGCTCATCTCCTCCTACCTCAACTCCGTTCTTTCCCCTTTGGTCCAGGAGTTCCTTACCTACATTCGGGACACAACCCGCATCCTCTACCTTTTCCAAAACTTTCAATTCTCCAGCCCTGAACACCTCTTCTTCACCATGGATGTTCAGTCCCTGTACACCTGTATCCCCAACGGAGATGGCCTAAAAGCCCTCCACTTCCTCCTCTCTCGTAGGCCCAACAGTCCCCCTCCACTGACACTCTCATTCACTTGGCGGAACTGGTCCTCACCCTCATCAATTTTTCCTTTGATTCCTCCCACTTCCTACAAACCAAAGGGATGGCCAAGGGCACCACATGGGCCCGAGCAATGCCTGCCTGTTTGTGGGATTTGTGGAACAGTCCCTCTTCAACAACTACACTGGGACCATCCCCCACCTCTTTCTCTGCTACATTGATGACTGTATCGGTGCTGCCTTGTGCTCCCGCAAGGAGCTCAAACAGTTCATCAACTTCAACACCTTTCACCCTAGCCTCAAATTCACCTGGGCCATTTCTGACACCTCCCTCCCCTTCCTGGACCTCTCCATCTCCATCTCCGGTAGCCGACTCACCATTGACATCCATTTCAAACCCACTGACTCCCACAATTACATAGACTACACCTCCTCTCACTCACCCTCCTGTATAACTGCTATCCCATATTCACAATTGCTCCACTTCCCCTGCATCTGCTCCCAGGGTGAGGCATTCTACTCTAGGACTTCCTAGATATCCTCCTACATTAGAGACTGTAATTTCCCCTCCGCTCTTATTAAGGATGCCCTCAACCACATCTCCCCCATTTCCTGCACTTCTGTCATCAAACCCTCACCCTCCAACAACAATAAGGATAGAGTCCCCCAGCCCTCACATACCACCCCACCAACCTCCGAATACAACACATCATCCTCTGACATTTCCACTACCGAGAATCAAACCCCACCACCAAAAAGATATTTCCCTCCCCACCCCTGTCTGCTTTTGG